AACAAGGTGAAACAAACTGTTAACAGTCGCCAGTTTGGTGAACAGTGAGTGAATTTGATATTGAATTTGTACAAATATGAGTTTTTAGGACTGTTTTAGAAGACTCAACTTTATTAGAAGCACTAATATGATCATGTGCGGGCAAGATGGACATTTACAAAAAATATTGGTGGCTTACAGCAAAATCTGATTGAGGCAAATGTTGAGGTGAATTACTGTGACTTGTTGGATGTCACTTACTAAACCCACCTATAGACTGGTATGATTATTATCAATGGATTTATGCCTTTTTAGAAAATGATTTCTCTATGTTTGAGCCTTCTCAGAAATTATTTTATAGTATTGTCCTTCGCACCTGTGAGGCACTTTGTAACAGTGCTTATAAAAGGCATTATAGAAATAAAGTTTACTCACTTTTTGTGAGTAAAGTAAAGAAACAAAATACCACTGCAGCCCTGGTTTGATTCCAACCTGCAGCCCTATGCAGCATGTCATCCCCACTCTCTGTCCCCTTTCCTGTCAATCTTCATCTGTCCTATCAAAGTTTTAGTCAAATTATAAATAGTAACTGGTAAGGTCCTCTTGTGTTTTTATTTTAACAGCATACATTATTTCTGTTTACGAAGTCCGAGTTTCTTTGGCTGGCATTCTTACTCTTCCTGTAAAGTCATAATGGCATTGTTGCTCATGCAAAATAGGCTCTTAGTTCTTTTTAAACTGCTGTCGCTGCCCGCCAGCATAAAATGCATCACTTCCTGTGTGTCATGATTTTGTTGCCTTGATAAAGACCTACTTGATCCCAAATGTTTAAAGTAGCAAACAATTACATGTTGTAGACCGGGATAGGGTTGAATCAGTCAATATATTAACCAGAGCTGACACAATTTCAATGCAAATGACAAAATGATATCTAAAGCCCTTGTTTAAGTGTAACAACTTAGTTTTGGTCTGTCTCTGAAGTTACATTTTTGTCTGTGCTCCTGAGTTTTGCGTAATCCTGGTCTTTGTGGCAGCAGGTGGATCCAGCACTGAGTACCTTGCAATCTGTTGCTCATTCTGCTGTATCACATTAGCAAGATGAACTGTGGAAATTCACCTTATTCATGTCATGTGTCTCTGATTTTGCTTGGCCTCATTGTGAGTGTATTGGCCCATCCCTTTTGGTACACTATCATTAAGCAGATGTTTTACAAAGAAAAGCACCTCACTCTGAGTTAAGCTCAAATCCATATGTGGTCTATGAGGGAGTCAAACGCACGACTCACAAACAACCAAACTGACCTATGGGAACCATGTGTGTGTCTGTCTGCGTTCCCTGGGGCTCGCTCTGTGTGTGCTGGGTCAGAGGAGGCCGAGGCTTTAATAAAGGAACAGGTCTGGTACAGGGATGCCAGTCTGACCGCCTGTGGACATGCAACCTGATGGGGTCCAGATGAGAGCCACCAGACTGGACTTCTTCCTCCAAACCAACAGCCAGTTGGTGCACGGATTATGTTCCACGGCCTTCTTCCTCTCTCTTGGTTTACTCTGCGATTTGAGGGGTAAGCCTCCAGATAAAAGTTACTTTCTCCTTTAATGGTACTTTAAAGCTTTCCATAGATCACATGAAGATGTGTTACTTCATGTTGCAAAGACATGACTCGCAAACAGGCTTGGCGCATACTGGAAGCCTGTTTCTTTTTTTTCTGTTAGTCATCAAATGTAAATATTTAATATGTTCTTGGCCGTTGTGTTTGGGGGTGTCTGGTAACCTACAAGATGAGGTTGCTCTTTCCTGCTTTACGGGGATCAATAGATGTTTGTCATGTTATCTTCCACGTCCTGACCAGGCACTTACATCATCCTCCTCTGCTGAGTGTCAGTTTCAGCAGGGCAGAGGAATTTACTTACAGGTCAGACACTGGATCAGCTGATTCGCACCGAACTCTCCTCTGTCTTACTCAGGGGAATATGAGGTGACAGTGCAGTAAATTTTACAACCAGACTTCTTACTAGAATGAGAATAACGACGGGCAACATAACAATATACATTATCAGAGAATATACATTTGTCAACAATCCAGGATTTAGCCTCACTGTTTATACTGTGGCAGCTGTGCCTTTAGCATCTCTGGGTGTATTAGGCATTTCAGGCGAGGTTAAGAATCAATTAGCAGGACTGCTTTATGGCACAAGTGGATTTCTAATATTTTTGCTTCAACGTGATCAAGTACCTTCTATTGTTAGGATTTTAATTTGCTGGATTAGCCACAAGCAGACCTGTCTAGTTATTTTTTCTTAATTGGTTTTCCAGAAAGTGCATTATATCATGAGATTGAGGATTGTATCCATATCGCCCACCCTTAACAATAAGCATAAAATATCTTGATGCACACTTCTGACAACAGAAGTTCAGAACAATGTGCTATAGCAATAATTAGAAATGTATCATTGTAATAACCAGGCTGAAACTAGATGGAATTATATATTATCAATAACTTATTTTCCCATAAATTAAAATTTTGCATTGTTCTCTGAAGCTAACACTGTCTTTTCACTTCGCTCCCAGAGCTCAATTTGTGCTATAACAATCTGGTGGTTGGAATTTCTTGAAAGTCCAAGTTGTAAATGGAAATCATACCCTTAAGTCAGAAATCACTCAAAATACTCAAACAAAAGCCACTTTTATAATACTTGTTTTAAAAATGAAGGGGAAAAAAACCTGTGCTGCAACAAAAGAATTACATAACTGAAGGTTTAACAGTTAAACAAATGTCATATTTTGTATTTTCCACTTACCTGCCAGTCAGGCATGCTCTAAACATTATTGTAATATGTTATAAAGCCTTGGAGCCAACATCTGTTTGCTACTGTTGACCTTCTAAAATCTACAAATAATGAAGTAAACATTCAGCTATTGAATCCAAAACCACAATTGTTTAGCTTTTAAACACTCAAATTGTGTTGTTAAGAGTAATTTTATTGCCATTTTTGGCCTTTTTAGAGAAAAACCAATCATCAGCCCTGCATGTTGTTTTGAGTTGTGCCAGGTAAGTCAATGTTTGTTACACTGACTTCAGTTATGTTTTGATGAATACAAATGATATATTTAAATTTGAATGAAGTTCTATTTTATGAAAAATACCAAAATTTTTCATCCAGTTGCTTGTTAACTCTTTGTTAGCCTGCTCTGCTCTGTGTGTGTTGATCATCCAGGATTTAGTTAGTAAATGTATAAAGAGGTCTGGAAAAGTGGGGAAATAATAATAAATAAAAATAATAAATAAGCTATAAAATATATGAAAGTGTTTTTTTTAATATTACCTCACTGCTAAGAAGTCTAAAGCAACAATGATGTCAGATTCTCTGATATTTCATATTTTCAGGCATTTCCTGATTTTGAGCTCAATCGCTTCCCCTATTGTGCAACTCTACAAATTAAGCAACATAATGACATAACAGAATGGGAGATGTGGTTAGGTAATACCCCTGGATAGAGTTTGCTTGGTCATGATAACACACACAGACACTGCTGGTTTTCAGGACATGATGCTCCACATTGACCCAGTATTGTGTTACTCCTTCCATTACTGCTGACTAACTCTTGGTCTCTAGCTTGAATGATAGCAACAGGGTGCATGGAGCGGGCCAGCGTCCGGTCCGTGTCAAATTTTCTGGCACAGACAAGCCTGGGAAATCTGGGCCAGCTGAACCCGATCTCTGAAACGGAGCCTGGTGCTGCTGATTCTGGGGTTACACATCCAGCAGCATCTGGCACTCTCAGGCGAGAATGACCTTGTTGACATAAAAGGTCAAAGTAGGAGACCATGACGCAAAGAAAGGTATGGTATGCTAGCTAACATGAGGTGTTAATACTTTTATTTACACTGTTATTACTGTGGTATTCAAGCAATGCTATGGCTTTGCATTTTACAATATCAACTTAATTTCACACAAGGAAGACTTCAAACCTGAACAGGATAATGGAAAACAGATTTTAAAATCACCCAGGCAAGCCTACATACAGCATACCAACACATAACAAATATTCGAAGAACATTTTATTTCATGTCTCTGTTACAAAGCAGTTTTGTCACAAATGTCTTTTATCGTCACATTTATTGATGGAGACAATACAAATCAGTCAAGGTGATGTACTATATGCACGACAACGGTAAAACCTGTACAACATCATACAAACACAGCGGGACCTGAGAGGGATGACCTGCAACACCTCTTTCTCATTGGTCAATCTCACACCAGAGGAGGAGCACCACAGGTTCGGCTGCAGAGCTGTGCAGGTTCTGCAGCTGATTTAATTATCATTGACAATCGTAACAAAAATGACTAAAGCAGGAACTTGTAGCCAGAATAATGTAAACACACAGTGCCAGCTCTGAGAACAAAACCACAATTCAGGCAGAAAAAAAGCACAAACATATGAGTAAAAAAACACAGAGATTATCATTATTATTAACAATTTAATAAAGATGTCACAAAAATATCTTTATTTACATTCTTGTTATGAGTTCACTTTGAAATAAAAACAAGACTGGTAACTCGACTGTTGTGAATCATCAGCACCTCAATTATAAAAGCACCTTTGGCCCGGAAAGATATATACTGTAGGTCATAACTGAATATTTTTACTGAATAAAGAAGGTGAATAGTGTACCTTGAGTTATGATACAGGAGTAGCTCTTGTATTGGCTTGAGCTTTTGTAACTTCTGAATTGTCTGAATCTTGATTACTTTTTAAATTAGTAATTTTACATTCTTTTATGTTTTTTGCTAAATATGTTTGATTTTTCACACTGTCCTTAGACATCAGACAGTTAATAAATCTACCAACACTTTTTAATAAAAATAATTTCTGCTCACCAAACATTGCTCAATGTACATTAAGCCTTAACATTTGTAACAGTCCAAATGTATTAAATGTTGTTTTGGCTTGTTCTCCTGCTTACTTTTTAAAACATTTTCATGAATATTTTTAATTGGAAATAGCCCTAAATAGGTAAAAAAAATAATCTTAATAGACCCAGGTTTGTTTGTGCTAATATGATGTGCTTGTTGCAGTGTTGTGGTCATTGGCACTTTAGTTTGGACGTGTCAGTCTGTGGATGGCATGGCTTTATGCCAGTATTGCATGAGGATACAGCGAATATTACTGAAGTTGAGATGTGTCCGTAGTAATGTAACCCTGGCTACGACCCACAGGTGACACAACACTGTCTTTGGACCGACCTGAGAGAGCAGCGACCCAACAGCTTCAGCTTGTCACAGAAGCGAGAGGACATGGTGTTCTTCCTGCAAACTGGACCTGCATAATAAGAAACAGAACTGGTCAAATGCCACAAAACACTGTAATACAGATTGAAATGTAAGGTCAAGTTTATTTAGAGTGATTTTAACTAAGATTTGTCAGAAAAAGGAAACAAAAGCTGATGTCATGGACATTGTGTATGTGTGTTGATAGTGATCCTGCTGGGCCAGGCAAACAAACAGACATATTTAGCGTTGCGTACAAACCTGTGTTGGTCTTGCATTCCTGCATATTGCACTTCCTGAGTGTTTCTGGTTTGGAAATCTTCTCACAGAGGTTGTTTGGCATTACAGCCGAATCCTGCTGACTCGCACAGTTAACTTCACGCTGCTGCTGACCCCCACCACAACTCACAGAGCACTGCAAAGTCACACACAAATAAAACTAATCATTTAGTCCACTTCTATAACTATTAGCCAATGTTTTTAGAAATTTTGTTCGCGTGTGACTGACCTCCTCCCAGTCCTCAGCCTTCCAATGAGTGCAGGGCTTTAGACTGCACAGGTCTGTGCTGTTTGGCCTCATTGTGGTGTCACAGCGATGAGGCGCGGGGCAGTACACTAGCCGCTCCCTGATGCCCTCGCCACAGCTGCCAGAGCACTAAGGAAAAAACAAGGATATAAGGGATGTACATGCTTTTTGCAGAGAATAATTGCTAATTAAATGGTTACATAAATTAGGCAATTTAGGATGATAATTGTTAAAGGGTCAGTTCCCCCAGATTACTAAACTACTAGTGTTCAATAATCTAGGAGGGACAAAACCTACGACAAAAGAAAACCCTGAAACTATCCACATGGCTAGATTCCACTTAGGACAGAAACATTTAAACCAACAAGTACAAGCTACAAAATGTAATATATTGAGATTTTATGAGGATAATGCTCATACAGGTCCCCATGGTGATATACTCCAGGTCATGCAAGGCTTGTGGGGGCAAGTCAAGGTGCTGAGGGGTCTGCTGGACACAGCTTGACAGTGGAAAGGTCTGAGGGGACGTTTACTCTGAGAGTCAACACACTGGACATCACGGTACCTCCTTCCCACCAACCCACAGCTATCTGGACACTGTGGAGAAAATCACATTTGAAAAAAAAACCAGCTCAGTAATACATGACATGTCAATGACATCTGCAACAGAAACTAACCCATTTCGTCATCTGGAAAATTAACAGATAATAAATGGAATTATAATTAAGTATTAAGTATAATTAACAAGTAATACATGTTTTACAGGGACTGGAGGTAATCTAACGTTACTCACCTTGCTCCAGCTGCTGCTTTGCCAGGTGGCACAGGGCTGCAGGTGACATGTGCGTGCAGGCTCAGGTCTCTTCATGTTGGCACAGTCCTCGTCATTCTGGGAGCTGCACTCTACTGTCCTCCATATTGCTCCAATTCCACATGTTGTTGAACACTGGGAAAGGAAGGGTTAAAACTCAGCTTGGGTTTATGTGCGTAATTGATTAAAGTGACACGTGAGGCAATAATATTGTAAAATAGATGTTTTAAAAAATCTCAGAAACAACAAGCAGAACGATTGTCTGCAGTTTTGCATGTTTAAGTCTGATAAAAACAAACCCAGTAACCATTTTCTAAGAGCATGAACATTAACATGCAGCTACCTAATCCACCACGGAATGGTTTATTTCATTTAAACCATATTATGCAGTTGCCTCCTCCTCCCTTTTGCTAAATTCAAGGATCGTCCAACAATCAAGCCAAACAGCTAATATTATACTTTGCTTACTGTGACAGATTACATAAATTTCAAGTCTCTGCAGGTCAATTTTCAAAGGTTTCAATTTTAGAGCAGTCATAGCATGCCTGGGTGGGAGGAAAACAATCTTAAAAAGTTATGATATGCCTTGGAAAATGACTAGAATTAATTTCAAGTGTGTAATTAAAGGGATAAAACATGCAAATTTACTGGTATGGTGCTTTAGAGAGTAGGATAATATGTCTCATTAAATGTCTGTACCCACCTCACTCCAGTTTCCTACAACCCAGAATATATCCATGCTCACAGGCTCTCTGGACATCAGGTTGCTTTGATCACTGTTGGAGCTGCTCATGGGGCTTTCAGGTTGCTGGTTTTGGTTCTTGGAGCGACTTCCTTTGGACCAGGAAGAGGGCTTTTTAGCACGGGAGACAGAACTGTTTTTCTTGGGTGTCACAGCAGGCTTCTTTAGTTTAACAATCTTCACTGTAGACTGGGGTGAGGCTGCAGTGGTGAATGGTTTTCTTGCTGTTGTGGAAGGAGCTTGTGTTGTGTGGAAGCCAGCTTTCGATGGGAATGAATGGTGCATGGGAGTGGTGAGGGGAACCCTGTGGGTCCAGAGGATGTATAGATTCATACGAGGAGTGGTGTGGGGGTTAGTGATGGGATAGTGGTGAGTAGTCTTGGCCCACACTTCAGTACTGGTGTGTGGGGTGGAGTAGGTAATAGTGGTGGTGGGTGCTTTGGTTGTTCGCATGGTAAATGGACTGGTTTGTAAGGTGGGTGTAATGAGTGTATGAGGTGTTGGTGTGGTTGATTTAAGAGGATTTTTGAGTGATGTAGATGTGGTAACATCCAGGTCAATAATCCCCTCCTCCTCAGTCGTCCTGTCCTCAACAACATAATCATATCCTGGTGTATACATTAGCCCATTTGGCGTACTTCCCTCCTCTCCCTCCTCCCTCTCATCTACCTTTTCCTTTTCAATGCCAACTGCTTTTCTGTCCTTGGCTTTGGATGGGAAACCTTTTCCTCTCTTATCTTCATTTTTACTCACTTTAACGTTAAACTCATAATCATCTGTGTTCATGATTTTGGGGATTGTGGTTTTAGAGTTTGAAAGGGATGCAGTGGTAGGGATGAAAGCAGTTGTAGTTTCTGTGGTGGTTGTTTTCTTCCTGACTGTGATAGCAGCTGTGGGTGCAGCTGTGGCCGTGGTGCTCATGGGAGCCCAGGTAGGTGTACCAGGATGCTTGGTGGGGTGGCTCTTAGGTGGGTAGATGCGGCGGTATTTAGGTTGAGGCCCGGGACGTCTACGAAGACTTGAGTTAGGGCAGCTCTGCAGGGCGCACAGAGATCTGGACCGAGGTTTGGTTGTGAGGTCACAGGTTTTCTTGAGTGCTAGTGAACACGTGACAGTACGTGAGCGAACACCTCCTCCACATGTGACCGGGCACTGCAAAGATGAAGGACCACAAATGATATGTTAATTAATTTAATGTCAAAAAGACCAATTTCAAAGAGATAAAAGAATAGGAACGTGCCTCTTCCCAGTTGCCAACAGCCCAGTCCTGTCCACAGGGTACGTCTCTGTTGCACGGCACTACAGGTTTGGGTTTAAGAAGATGCTTGCACTCGACAGGGTGGAGCACCCTTTCCTCCCCTGACACTGTGCGAACACAGAGCACTGTTCGCTTCCGTACCCCTTGTGATCCACAGGTGGCTGTACACTGCTGCCATCCACCCACCCACCACCTGAGGAAGAGGGGATGGACCAGAAAAGAGGGTGAAGAGAGAGACCACTGATAGATACATTCCAAAAATAATGGGGAATCACATAGTAAGCGGACAACCTTCATTCGCTTACCATCATCTTTACCTAACAATGTAAAAGTTATGTAAAATTGTAATTATATTTATAATATAAATGTTATAAAATTATATATGTTCTCAGACCACAAGAATTTTGCCTCACTCAAATACTAAAAATAGAACAAATATTGATTTGAATCAGGAACAAGTAAACAAGACTACATCTGATTGAATTGAGTGATTTAAATAGTTGGTGGAAATACTTAATTCAATTGAATAACATTTTTGCTGTTTGTCATTGCAATGAAACCGAGGGGAATATAAGAGAGAGCGCACCAACACTTGCATTTAAATGAAAAACCTACATTTAGCGGTAATATGACTAAAATCACAGTACAATATGTTTTGAGGTCATAACAGTACTAGCTACTAAAAAAGGACCTTGCAGGGCAATCCATAGTCTTGCATTTTCTGTGTCTGTCTTCTGGACGGCTTTCTGGGTCACACAGAGTCTCATCCACTACACCCACATCCATCTCAAAACACCGTGCAGGCTGGTGCTGCTCACCTATAACACCCCAGAAGTCAGAAAGCAGATGGTCAGGTCATTACTCAAATGTCACTGAAATCTTCCACCAGCCACAAATGTTTAGAATAAGATTTTTTTTTGTCAAATTCAACACCAACCTAAGCCACAGGTGGTACTGCAGTCTGTCCATGCCCCATGTCTCCACCTGTAAATGGGTTCGATGACCTCATTTCCTGTCTCTTTGGTCTTCTTGATGGTGTACTCATATTTTAAACCTGGGTTCTTCTCCTGAAACAGTAACTGGACAATCACATGAGTTGTTAGTATCATTTCAAGACTATCAAGACAATATTAAATTGGACATATACAAAAACATATTTGATTGCAGTTATCTGGTGCCTTTGAAATATGTCTACTTTTGAGAAAACAATTGCTTAGAAACATCTTATTCTTTACCAAGAAATGTATATTCAGATTTGGAAATCATACAAAGTTTGTATTCTCTGATTGGTTGGCTTAAAGTGAGTCGCTTTTCTCTATACTTGATTGGTTGAAATAATTCTATGTAGACACTGGGAAAAAATATAAATACTTCTATACATCTAAGAACACTAAAATATTTAAAAACTTAGAAATACCCTCTACTCCCTTCAAATACATGAAACCTCTGTAATATGATGGCCTACCTGCAGCATGACTGGGTCTTTGGTGGGTCCAGGAGCGGTGAGATTCTCCATGTTCCCACTGCGTTCATAGAAGAATGTCGTCCCCCCAGCCTCATACTCCCCGTTCCACTGGATGATGAAGTTGCCATTGAGAAAGTACTCCTCCGATGCCTCGCTCCTCAGCGCCAGGAAGTTACCTGCCTCCTCCACTTCCCTTACCAGGATGTCCCGTGCCCCCGCAGGTATCACACCCACGTCCGTGTACCCTGGGAGAGTCAGGAGGGGAGTCAGAGTCACAGCGAGGAAATGGGTGGCCCACCATGGCTGCTGCCACACTCACATCCAGACTACCAGACAGTTTCTCTCTGATCTTTAATAGAGGGTGGGCTCAGTCTGTGGGGGTGGTTGGCATGTGTTTGTGTGAGCGTACGTGTGCGTATTCGGTGTGGGGGGCACTGCCCTGTCTCTGTTTTTTATTGTGTTTGGATGGAT